CTCGCAGACAGTGGCGGGAACATTGTGGCTTGCGTCGATCCCCCGCATTGATGTTCGCCTGCAGATGCTGTCGTCATATCTCCAGGGTTATGAGGAGGCGCATGAGACCCTTACGATAAGATCGCTTTCGATTGAGACGTTGCAGTCCAGCCATACATCAAGGAATACTTCGTGATGTGTCATGACATGCTCATACCGAGAAGACTACGGGTCAGTGCCTCCGACTTCTCGGATCGGAGGAAGCGACTATCCGGCCTGGCGCCAGCGTGCCTCGGCCAAGCCGTCTTGGCTCGCGAGCTTGAACGAGGATCCTACGAGCTTGACCTGACCTGTGAATTTGGCACAAGCCCGTCATCTCTGCAAAATTACCATCATCCTGGCAAAATGTCACGAGACAGCTGGATATCGAGTCTCGTGATCCCCATGAAACTCGTACTCCATGGGGAATCACGCTGGTGTGACGCGCCCCATGCCTAGTGGAGGCGACTCCGACTTTACCAACTCTCCGTGCCGCGATTCTCTCTAAACACGCCATATCGGAGCCGCCTTGGTGGATCTCGGTATCCAGACCACATGACCAGCCGTGTTCTGTTCCAAGAACACGTCTCGAGTGGACCCCGATTATTGAGCGGAGTTGCTGCCAGACTCCATGCATACGAGATTTTCGCCTCCAGATGCATTGCGCAGCTAAACACTACCGGACTGCCAGCCCTACATCGGTTAGGCCAAGAAAATCCTCCCGACAGTTCGACCAAGCGCTGGGTGCATGGTTCGAGGCTACCGTAGCCGCCTCGTCTGGTTGGCCGAGACCACGCTATCGTGCTCTAGCATGCTTGTTGAGCCTCACGGAGGGCATGGGAACTAATGCACCCCGTTTACCCTGGGGTCTTTCTGCGACTTTGGCGCGGCCAGAAGCAAAATCCTGCACGCTACTCATCTCCCCACCTCTTCGATATGCGCTTGTTTTCCCACAGACTGCCCGCTGGTACCAGCTCTTCGGCCAATGTTAGCAACACCGAGCACCGGAGTCGCGATATTCCAGAATCCTTCTACCACCATACTGCAAACAGTTGGATGCCGTCCGTCTAAGCAATCGCGCATGGAAAGGCTTGTCTGCATACGCGTCGCCAATTGGTGATCGTATGGACCAGTGAAACATCACAGATTTGTGAAGGAATGCGCTGTACTCGTCCGATGATCACCGACAGACGAACATCAGTTGGTGGTTTGCTCCGCAACCACGTCTATCGAGCAGAGGCGATGAACGGTCTCTGCCTGCATACCAAGATGCATCCCCGCAGAATGAGGTCAGTGGTTCATGGCTTACACGCACCCGACTTGACAGGTCATGACGGCTAAAGGCGACGCTTACCATCTAGTGTCCTATCAGCTAGCTGCTCCTACGCCCCGTCTTCGCCCCGGCACGCGACTGTCATCTCACTGTTGGGTGCGTGTGCCAGCAGACTGACCATGCGTGTCACGTAACCCGACGATATTTGCCATCGTTTTCCAGCAACACGAACGTGGGACCGCTGGGTAACGTTGCGCTAACTGAATCTCGGCTCCATGATTTCCAAATCTACTAGAATTGGCTCACGATGATTTGAACGCTATGGCATCCACAGGCCAGCGACGTGCTAGTGGTCAGCGTCTGGTCTGCTCTAGCTCCAACACCATCATGGCTAAGACCACCCACTAAGCTACCCCAGTCGCTTCGGACCTACTCTCGCTAGCCTGCTGGCCAGCCGCGGGACTAGCGCGCTGACCCCATGCTTCCAGTCTCCAGACTAGACAGCTGCCCATGGAGATCCCCAGGCTCGGTGAACAGTTCCCCAAATGTACTTAAAGATGGGCAGCCCGCCTTGGAGTGATAGTCATCCTCATTCGAGTACTCAACCATCTCTCTGGACTTGAGTCTTCCTTCCATACCCATTTTACTTCCACAGACAGTTGCCAATCATGGGTCTGATGTTGAAGAAGCCTGAGGGCGTAGCTGGCTCGACCGCGCCCGCCATCTTGGTCGGCCTGTTCGTTGCCTTTGGTGGTGTTCTGTTTGGGTATGTACGATTGATCCTTTCTCCAGAGATCTACTAACAATTACAGTTATGATACCGGTACCATTGGTGGTATTCTTGGAATGCACCACTGGCGACAGCTTTTCAGCACTGGCTACGTCAACAAGAAGGACAACATGCTCGATGTCACCGCCGAGCAGACCTCCTTGATCGTCTCTATCCTCTCTGCCGGTACCTTCTTCGGTGCTCTCACCGCAGCACCCACTGCCGATTTTCTCGGTCGCCGCCTCGGTCTCGTCGTCAGCAACATTGTCTTCTGCGTTGGTGTCATTCTCCAGACCGTCGCCACTGCCATCCCCATGTTCGTTGCTGGACGTTTCTTCGCTGGCTACGGAGTCGGTATGATCAGTGCCACCATCCCGCTCTATCAATCCGAGACTGCTCCCAAGTGGATCCGTGGTACCATTGTCGGTTGCTACCAGCTTGCTATCACCATCGGTCTTCTACTTGCTGCTATCGTCAACAACTCCACAAAGGACAGGACCGACACTGGCTCCTACCGTATCCCTATCGCTGTTCAATTCGCTTGGGCTATCATCCTCTTCACCGGTTGCATCTGGCTTCCTGAGACTCCTCGCTGGTTCATCAAGAAGGGCCGCCCAGAAAAGGCTGCCAAGTCTCTCTCTACCCTCCGCCGCCTCAATGTTGACGACCCGGCTCTTGTTGAGGAGTTGGCTGAGATCACTGCCAACCACGAGTATGAGATGTCTCTTGGCAAGGCCACCTACCTCGACTGCTTCCGTGGTAACTTGGGCAAGCGCCTTTTCACTGGTTGCGCCCTCCAGTCTCTCCAGCAACTCACTGGTGTCAACTTCATCTTCTACTACGGAACATCCTTCTTCCAGAACTCGGGCATCAGCAACCCCTTCGTCGTCACTATGATTACTTCCTGCGTCAACGTCGCCTCCACCTTCCCTGGTCTCTACCTTGTCGAGAAGTGGGGTCGCCGCAACCTTCTCCTCTTCGGTGCCGTCGGTATGGCTGTCTGGTAAGTTCTGATTTCACGAAGCGCAAATGAGACATGTACTGACTTTCTGCAGCCAATTCATTGTTGCCATCACCGGTACCGTTGCTGGTATTGATAACCAGGCTGCCCAGCAGGCCTTGATTGCATTCGTCTGCATCTACATCTTCTTCTTCGCCTGCTCATGGGGACCTGTCGCATGGGTTGTGACTGGTGAGATCTTCCCTCTCAAGGTCCGCGCCAAGTCCCTCTCCATGACAACTGCATCCAACTGGCTCCTCAACTTTGCCATCGGATACGCCACCCCCTACATGGTCAACGACGGACCCGGCAACGCCAACATGGGCGCCAAGGTCTTCTTCGTCTGGGGCGGATGCTGCTTCATCTGCATCTTCTTCGTCTGGGCCATGATCTACGAGACCAAGGGTCTTTCCCTCGAGCAAGTCGACGAGCTCTACGGCAAGTGCTCCCAGGCCTGGAAGTCTCCTGGCTTCGTTCCTTCCATCTCCTTCCAGGACGTCCAGGACATGCACGCCGACAACCGCCGCGCCAGCCTTACTGATATTGAGGCTGATGCTTCCCGCAAGAGGAGCGCTACCTACACCGAGTACCCTGAGAAGACTGTTGTCTAAGCATCTACTCCACGGAGCTTACGAAGAGTTATGAGAGATTCCCTACCACAATTGTAAATACCCGACTAGCTGTTTGATTTTCGCTTGATAGCGCAGCATTGTATATATCCAATCATCTATGAATTATGATACTACTATAACTTCATCTACATCACCACTTGCTGTGCTTCCTCTTGCATTCCACCTGTGTCTTCAATCCCCATATTCGTGTCTATCGGACTCATTCCACCGAGAACGAATATAGCTCATAGTCCAGCTCTCAGATAGACCTCTCAGCTTGTGCGCCATTTTCCCAGCATGGCTTTAAGCGACCAACCAGCGTGCGGGCCGTCTCTCAACTGTATCTGCCATCGATATCCAGCCGGAGACACTCCGCAGCGCCACGCGCGCTTTCCCCAGATCTACCCCAATTTTAGTGTTGAGGCTAGTCTAGCGGCGGACTTGCATCGAGCCGCTCGCAACCTTGATGTGCATGAGACACGATGGCTTTTGGTCAGATGTCCGATCAGCGATTAGGATAGACGGCGGAGATGCGCGTAGGGCGTGATCAACAGTGAATGTGGCTTGCGTAGAGATACCAGACTACCTAGGTATGTTGGCACGTGGTTGGGTGGTGGCATGTCTCTTTGCACATCACGACCCCTCACCGTTTCAGAATCAACAGTAAGGTTACTTTTGAACTGCGAAGGTATTTGCGGCTCGATTCAATGATCTGTATAATATAGTGCGACGACGGATGATGATGCATTTTGCTGTTTTCAAGACTCAAGCTTTTCACTATGGAAACCTAAATTCCGGGTCGAAGGGTGAGTTGCAACGCTGCGAGCGTGTCCTATATCCTCACAAAGAAGGCTGCTTGGTGTTTTTGGTGAGTCTTAAAGCGAGTTGCAGCTTGCTTCAGAGATGAAGGATCCAACGTCGCCCTGGCTTCGTTGCTGGGTGGCTGATTCTGGACGTTTGATTTCGCAAACGGAGAGAGGCGGTGGTACGTTCACAGCAATGGCAATTACACCCGCTTTTTGACAAGATCAACATAGTATTTAGCTTAAGCTGACACTTGAACATCTTTTGCGTATACTATTGAAGTCACTCGTATGGACTTTTCTCCAAGTTTGACGGCCGTGATGACCTCATCGTAAACATTCTTTCACCTTTCACTCACTCCAACAAACACCAGACAGATGAGACCACAAAAAGCTTGGCAGGGTCCATATCAAACGCACAATCGTGTATGAAATCTCTGATTCGAGCCTTTTGCTTATACACCACCGACGAGCGTTTCGCATCTTCCGAAATCCATACCACACTCAAACGAAAGAACCCTCAGATATGGCTAAGCTCGGCGTCGGATACGAAGTTGAGATTGAGGAATACACCTGGGAACTTGGGACTGGTTTGGACTCCAAGCGCCACTCGCTCAAATGGTCGGAACAAGATTCGGAAGGTAACGGAAAGTCGTGGTCGCTCTCGAATTTCATCTTACCACCCGACCATCGCTTCTCTTACACAGCGGAGAAGAGATATCTTTACTAGTAAGTCTTTCTTTGACACATTCAGATATCTTCTAACCTCGCATGTAGCACGCCTGGCGGGATCGACATACGCAATCAACTTGGAGTAAGCATGGGTAGACGTACACCGACAGCCACCGGGAAGGCCAAGCTGGAGACACTCCCAATCGCAAGTCTCAGCATCACCCTGGGATCGAACTTCGTGTCCGAATTGTTCTTTTATCATTGGGAGAAGATCACTGGACGCAAACTCTCGGATGTCCTCCTTCCCGGATGGCTCGGCGGTTTTCGTTTCTCCCCGGACAGTAGGTACATTGCAGCGTCGTTCTTCGCTCAATCTGAGACCCAGCGCGCACTACCTTTCCCTTCGAAGGACTTAGGCCCAGACTCGATCGCCCGCTATGTCGCCAAAGTCCGGAAAGACTACTTGCCCGCCAACGTCGGGGACTTGCTGTGGCTGATCGATCGGTTCTTGAAGTGGACGTTTCCTCACGGTGACTACAAGCTCGACTTTATTCCGCTTTCCTGCGATCATCCCGACTCAATTTACCAACTCATCAAAAATATTGGCGAAGAGGGAAGATACAGACACCACCCTCACTTCCGAACCTTCATCGCTTTCTCCAAGATGAGTGACATGGGCTCGGATGAGCGCGCTGTCCCGAACAACGCTCTGGTTCTAGCCGCGGAAATCCTTGCAGGGCAATACACGAAGAAGCGCAAGAGGGCAGAATTTCGCTTCAACGGCGGGGTAGTATCCGAAACCAGGAGCGTACTCATGCTGAGTGATGACTGGCCTTCGTACACTGTGTGTCAAGAGGACCCAGAAGAGCTCAAACAGGACATTGTACTTATTTCGGACTTGACGGACGATGAGGGTTGCAATGGCGAAGAGGACGATAATGTTGATGGAAAGGATGATAAGAGGAAGTGAAGACGGCGCGTTTGCTGGAGGTGGGGTGACTACGGGTTTGAAGTAATGAAGGAAAGAAGACGACAAAGTTGGAGGAGGGTGGAGCAAGACTGACGGCTTCTAAGAGTGCCCATTGTATGGGTTTGCTATGCCGCATTGGTTTCACTCATTTCGGTGCTCAAGAAGCGATAGTGAGTAATGGAAACATTGAAATGCCCTGTAACGACCTTTCTTACACTATTATGACGGAATCGCACTTTCTCACAACCCTAATCCTCTTCCCCATCATCAAAAATCCCACATACCTCCAGTTGTGGATAGGCCGCGTTCCACTCTTTCAGAATCTCCTTCGCCTCATCATAGTCCATATTAGACCAAATACCCATGATAGCCAATCTTGTAATATCCCTCGCAATCCTGTACTCAGGCGTATAGGCCAACTTACAATAGTTCTCACCAGCAGCATCCTCAAAGGACTTCTTTACGGCCGCAAGATCGACGTCTTCCGGTATATCGTTGGCATCAGCCTCTTCCGGTTCGTCATCGCTCTCTTCGAAATTCCACAGCCAGTATGGGGATCGGCAATTCATGAAGGTGGGGGCGAAGACGGTTTCATCCCAGTCTAAGATTGCGGAGAGGGTAGCGGTGGTGGGAGAGGTGATGTGGATGAGCATGTTGCGTGGCTCGAGATCCATGTGTGTGAGTGCGTAGATGTTGTCGTTAAGAAAGCCAAGCGTGTGTAGATGCTGAATGATGGCTGTGAACGGTTTCCAAGGGTTCAGGAATTTACGATTGAGGGTTAGGTCGAATGCGCGTTGACGAGCGAATTGTGACATGAGGAATTCTCGAACAGTTTGAGGGGTAGCTGCCACGAAGACCTCATTGGTTTGGCGAAACGCGTTTCGTGGTGGGCATTGTAATCGCAGTAGCTGCGTTTCTGATGATCCAGCGAGAATGCTTTCTGGATTCAGTGTGCCAGGAGATGGCGACTGGATCTTGCTCATCTCCTTCAGTGCAGAGCCTAGATCTCGCGCGAAGGAGATGCGCTGCTGCGTGTTGAGCTCAGAATAGACGTCGATTACTGACTTCCCCGGAACACGTGGCTGGATCGTATATCGGCTACCAATTGGGTTCTCAGTTGAGAAGCTGAAAGTCTTGATCCTGGGTACTGGAATGCTCGTCGCAGCAAGAAACTTGAGGATAGAGACTTCGTGTTCAACCCACGCATGCTCCATACGCGGTATACGCAGCACATAGTCTCTGAGCTCCGTCTTGCGTAACATACCGGGACAAAACGTTCGAAGAAACCAGCGTATCTGCCGCTCAACCCAGCTAGCTTGATATCGAGACCCGTCGACCTGGATGTTGATCACGCGGTTGTAAGAGCCACCATCCATACGCGTGATGGTGAAGGAGTCTTTCGAGAGATTCGGCCACTCCTTCTGACATAGGTCGACTACCTTGAACTGGAAAGTTTCGAAGGGCTCATGTTCGAACATTTCAGTAGAGGTAGTCGAAACGTCGGAACTCGCGATAGAAGCCGAGTCATTCCCAGTATCTCGCGCGGGCTCCGTCTGTTCCAAAGGCGTAGCGCTGGGTGACATCTTCGTATCGGACATATTTCCAGACCAATGGAGTGGTGGAGTCTGGTTGGCAAACTCCAATAAAGGAACAGCGGTTTTCAACGTTATAAGAGGTCCTGCGAGTATTGTGTGAAATGTAACAGTGCTGGAGGGCGACTTTCACAAAGAGATTGTGGGACTCGATACGATCCGAAAGGTTTCCATGTGCGAATGAAGCAGCAAGACGAAGAACGAGCGCCCAGAGAAAGGCGGTGGTTACACTGCTTTTCAACTCAAAGCCCAATAACCCGTCCCCTGGGTAGTTAAATACGCCTGGGTACTCTCTAAGTAATCGAGCATAACACGTGTATCGATTCACACCAGCACTCAACTGAACAGACTTCCCGACCCTTTTCAACTCTTACTATGGCACGAAAATATGGATCCAAGGTAACACACCACTGCTGGTGTGGACAGACCGGCTGGTGCAGAAAGCACCTGCTGCGATGTGAGGCGCACGGAATTGACTACTATGCGAGCGGTGGGTGCCAGGCTTGCGAGGGAGTAGCTGACGCTACAGACCGAAGAGAATATAAAGAGAGACAAGATCAAAAGAAACAAGCCGAGGATGCAAAGAGAAAAGAAGAAGACGCCTGGTTCACCAGAACGAAGGGCCGGAAGTAGAGCTTGATAGTAGGTAGAGTCGCGACTGAGAAGGCGACCGCGCGTAGGTTCGGGGAAGGTTGCAAATTCCAGGTGGCGTACCCGGATAGATTGAGGATGAAAACTGCTTTCCTGGAAATGTTTGTATGTTGATGTTGGCATGAAGGTAGCTCTGCTCTCCGAGACGGGTTAACAATGAAAGTGAGACAAAGAAAGTGGATTCGTTCAAACACGTCCTGGGACGCATTTGGAAGTATGAGTCCTGTTGTCTTTAGCCATGACTGAGTGTTCAGATCTAAGTGTGCTGTTTGGTTTGATGTCTTGTCGCTCAGCATGTATGCGGGGCGTGTTGCAGTCGTTTGTGAATCAAGAGAGCAACCGACCGAGCAAAAGAGAGCTCGAATAAGCGAGCATCACACTACTAGCTATTATCACTTTTCAAGACCAGGTCTCTCTCGAACGCAAAAAAAAAGTAATGGGTCTTACCGCGACTCGAACGCGGGGCCTCTCGCAAGCTGTGCTTGGGTTTACCCCTGTGAGGTGTTAGGATGAGAAGGGCGACTTGTGGCACGGTCAACTTACTAAGCGAGAATCATACCACTAGCTGTTGTATGTCAGAATTTGTTGGTCGGAAGACGAATGCTTGGTACATACACCATAAGACCAATTTTGCTGTTGCAGCTGTTGATGGAGAGATGGTCAATTAGTGGCTCTATAATCTAAGCACATCAGGTTTGGCTGCATCTTATTGCCCCGCTCTGCATGAACAACCCATAGTGATAATAAAGTAATTGGTTGAGTCATAGTGGAGCTACGGCTCAGTGATGGGCGGCTGATTTCGCATATGTGGGGACCACAACGTGAACACGAACGATGGAGGGGTAATCTGACTAGCTTACGATGGTAGACGATGCACACTGATAGTTTTGGAGTGATCTGACCATTGGTCGTTGAGATAGTCGGAAGCTCAAGTAACTTAGGTTGTAAGCTTGACGTGGTACTTTTATACACAATCCCCTATTTGCCACTCCAAACAAGCAGCACACTAAGTTCAATCAACGATGCGTACAACAAGATATACAGTAGCCTGGAGATTTACAGGATAATTCCAGGATAACATTACATACCCAAAAAACATTTCCAGGCGCATGCATTTTATGGAGATTCAGCACTGGTGGAAACAATGGTAATGCAAGGGTATTCAAGTACGATTGTCGCGGCGGATGCGCTATCGCAAGGGTCGCTGCATCTTCGCCTCGACATCATGGACGCGCCCCTCGGAATCTTGGAAGCGCGTGTACCTTCCAGCACCTCCGTCTACGCCGCATCAACGTCGCAACATCAACCTCCGATGGCGACCACGGCTTTACCTCCACCTTTGCACACGCTGGAAAAGTCATAATCCACCATGGTGCGGTTGCTGGTTCCTGAAGGTGAGTTTCGCGACCAGATGTAGCCCCAGTATCCTAACATAATCCAGGCGAGAGTCAGCATGCCATCACCGGGAGACCACCTGGCGCAATCGCTACACAACGCGACCTTATCGCATCGCCATGGAGATCCTCAATCGCCGCTGCAGCCGTTACTGGCGGCTTCGCCCTGGTTGGCCGCTCACGACCTGGCGTGTTCCTCAAGTCCGCCGCCTTGATCGGTGCCGTAGACCTCACATTTACCGCATCTGGAATCTATGGGCAACATGAACTGCACCGGGGCGTCTTCAAGATGGAAGGGATACAGCCCAAGCCGGGCAAGCTATGGGAACGGACAAAGCACTGGACGTGGGAGGATGCGACACTTGGGGGAGGAGTAGTGGGCGCATTTTTGGCACTGAACCCGCGTGCTCTACCCGGCGTCTACGGCTTCGCGCGATTCTTCGGAGCGGCTACAGTTGGGTGTGCGCTCGGATACAAGGCCGGACAATTCTACATTGTTCGCCTGCCCCCACAACTCCTACAGCTCTTCGACTACTCAATTACGGCAAACCGGCTCAGAGAGTATGAAAAGTTGCAGGAGAACGAAAAGGCCAAATCGTCCCTTTCTCGAATCGGCAAACTCGCGCTCTGGTATCACACGTCTCAGACGATGACTATTCTTCGGAGTCCTCTACAACTCGGCGGTATCGGAGGGATGGGAGGGTCTAGCGGTAGTCCTGGTGGTCAGCAGTCACCGCATGGTAGCCCGTTGCATGCATTGAAGGCTGAGATGGACAAAGAGACTGTCTTCCAGACCGAATTCAAGGAGGGTGAACTTGCAGGACCCGATATAGAGAACGGCTACCGCGCGTACAAGGACAATCTCCAGTCAAGAGATGCAAGTAAAATACAAGACTGGTTGGAGCAAGTTCGAGAGCTCAAGAACAACATCGGTTCGGAGTGGCAATACGTCTGGGGATACCTTGGGCAGAAAGAACACGAGTTTTATCAGCATGCAGAGGAAGACGGGGAGAAGGATCTGCTCCGACGGGAAATCCAGCTGCTGAACAACATGGCCGCTGACATAGTTACCCGATGTGCAATCCTCGAGTACCACGAACGCGATGCCCTGAAGCAACTACGGCAAATCGAGCAAACAGGATCAAACGTCGAGCCCGATGCAACATCCCAATCCACCACGGTGCCGTACGAATTTCCACACGATTCAGCCGAGGTTGCTCAACACAACTATCGTGGCCCGCGCATCGCCACCGAGCGAATCCGCACAACCTGGTCAAGACAAAAAGAGTTGTTGCGACACTTCGACCACGCTGCCGCCCGTGCCAGTGAGATATCCGAAGCCGATAGCGGTTTCCACGTCGCTGAGCACCTAAAGCGTCTGAAAGAGGATGCTGATCAGATGCGGAAGAACGTAGAAGCCACTGGGCGTTTGCTGCGACGGTTTGAGGATCGGATTCGCGAGGCTGATGAGGAGGCGAAAGAAAAGCCTCGCCAAAGCGGAGTTGGTTCGGATGGTGAGCAGAAACCTACTTGACATGGATCTTTGTCGCGCTTGGGTATACTCTGCCTTTGTCATGAGCCAACTCGTTGAAGTCAGGCGTTGTAGGTTGCTCGGTCAGATACCTTGCAAGGACTGATATCATGAGACTATTGGCCTGTAGGTATGCATGCCTTGCTTGAATACGGCGAGTAATGAACTATCAAGCACGTCGCGAAGTCAGCCCGATGGCTCGAATACATCCGCGAACATACATAGCTAGAATAGCACAACAAGCCGTGTGGGCTGCGATACCTCGGCAGTAACGATGCTCTCTACGCGAATCCGTGGCGTTGTCTGTGGATGATCCTGTCAGTGTCGTTGAGACACTAGAAGGGGCTGCTCTTATTGCAAGAGACGCAGTCTATCCCTGGGGTACATTAATCAAGTCAAAGCACTTTGGAAGTTACTCTTGTAGTCAGCTTCCTGTGTATGGTAAAATATTCAAAAGATCCAGACGGCCAGGTTTCACCTAGGCCGCGTGCAGACTATGACTCAAATTGTTCATAGTGCACGAAATGCCGTACAAAGCTCCTTGAACGTATCTAGTGCATATGCATCGGCATTCCTCAATATCGCCGTGGGTGAGAGACGGCGACGGATGACGTAACCATTCGGAACTCAATGCGGAAATCTCTCGCCTCTGCGCTTCTAGAAGACTCACTCTGGCCACGAAACTCACCACCGCATCGCGTATCCTAATCACCATCCTATACACCTCCTGATATCTCCATAATGCGCTCCGTACGTTCATCTGCAGCGCGCAGAATCCGCACATCTCTCACCGAGCCCACCACTTCGCCGTTCCGTACGCGACCAAGCGCAACACCGTGCATGCTCTGCGCACATCGCATGCCGCCCCAGACGATATCACGTCGATTTCAATCCTCCTCTTCCAGCTCGAATAAAGTCGAAAAGCCATTCGAGACACAGCAATCTTCCACAGCGCAATCGTCCCAGGTCCCACAAACACACTACGCCTTCTTCCCCAACTCCTTGCCATCCGGCCCGCCCCCAGAAGGCCCCTTCGCCATCGACCTCCCCGCTCTCAAGAAGGAATTCCTCCAACTACAAGCCCGCGCCCACCCCGATCTACATCCACAAGCCGACAAGAAACGCGCCGAAGCCCTCTCATCACGCATCAACGAGGCCTACAAAACACTCCAGAACCCGCTTCTAAGAGCACAATATCTGCTATCCTTACGCGGAATAGAGGTAGCAGAAGATGAGACAGCGAAGGTAGAAGACCCGGAGCTGTTGATGGAGGTCTTGGACGCCAGAGAGAGCATAGAAGAGGCAGAAAG